TGAAAATTATATTAAACATTTGTTTAAATATGATGTAGTTTTCCATCTTCTTAGAAGCAGCCTCTTTTGTTCCCATCTATGCAATATGAAATCAGTGTTCCCAACCTGTGTCACATAAGCTGTGTCTTTTACTTTTGCCCATCTTTTGTTCCCAGGTACAAACAAGACTTCAGACATTCATTTCTAGCCTGCAACAGAAAACAAGTGACATTGAGATTTTAGCAGTAAGTATTTGGCAGAAGCCTGAACTAATTCTGAATTCTTAATTGCAGTGGATGATGCCCTTCCTATCTGGAACAAACAACTTTTAATTGCCTCACTTTAGTGATACCCAAATGAATCAAACTTGAGGTTAAGTAAGACTTCTGGTCTGTTCTCTGATACTTGAAAAGTATCTCATACTGTGTGTATGGGACAGCTGCATGGAATACAATTTAACAAGCATTTAGTTGTAAGCTCTTAAGCTGTAATTGCACCAACTATTGTGGTAGATGTAATTTCTTGTTCCTGCTAGATTTGTACTTCCATTTAAGTAAACATAGCTCTTGTCTGTATGTAGCTTTTAGACTTCACTGACTATGTCCAAAGGAGTTTAAAATGGTGGATGCTTTTCAGGAAACATAACTGCCTGTTTGCCTGCACCTATGTGCAACTTTCCATAATGGATCTGTCATGAATAATTTAAAATGTTTTAATCATTTTCAACTAAGTTCACAGTTTTAGCAGCATGAGTACTTCTCTGGAAATCAAAAAATCTGGCTCACTTCAGTATAGCTCATCTCTAGTTGGCAAACTGGTAACAGAGAGCGGTTAAGTATTGATTTATTGGTATTTTACAGGTTGATCTCCCAAAAGCAACTGTGATACACTTCTTATCATTAGAGGTAAGCAATTAAGTATTGTTGTTAAAACTCTAACTGAACACAATAGATGATAAATTCTGTTCCCAATGAAGTGTAAAATTGACCCGTTCTAGATTTCTCTTTCAAGTTGGAATTAGGTTTAAAACTTAAAAGTACAAGAAGCTTGACTGAGAAAAACTTCTTTGTCAAATGTCCAAGTTACACAAGACAACATTAGGAAGTCCTAATCCAAAGCTCTGAGGTTTTTTCCCCCAAGAATAGTTATCTAAAATCAAATCTTAACTGCTCTTTTTCAGAAACCAATAAGAATTAATAGCAGTTTCAACAAAGGTCTTCCTTGAAGCCCTTAATGAGGGAGAACCCAAAATACAGAGGCAATTGTTTCAAATACAGTAGCTGAAACATCCCTTAGTGAAGCCAAGATACAAAGGGGATGTTGATTATATCGACACCTTTAATAACTCAGGAGCTGGTCAATGGTGCATGAAAGATGACAATACCAAAGAAAGCTTTCTTCCTTTCTCCAGTGACAGCTCTAGCTTGAGAGAGGTGGATGCCTCTCTACCTCCTAAAAACCCAGACTCAAGAATGGCATCCTACTGGAAGTGCATGTAGTACTTTCATACCTTTTATCTGCTGCTCTGAAGCAGTGCTTGTCTGGTAACCAAAACCCAGTGAAACGTTTCAAAACATTTTCAAAATACTTAGTTCATCCAGTCTGTATAAATCATGGAGGTACTTTATCACCTTTTGCTTAAAAAAAAAAAATTAAATATGTATGCACATGATCAGCTTGCATCATTCACTTTTGATCACTGTTACTGTATTCTCTCTAGCACTGCCAAGCTGACATAGCCCTTTTCATTGCTTGTGCCTTTTTAGCACTGAAATGTGTTAAGAAACTGATCACTAAATTAAGTTGCATGTGCTGTTGACATTTATCATGTTTGAAAGCTGTTTAATTAAAGAGCATTGACATTACACAGTATTCAGAAGGCTCCATCCAACTGGGAGAAGTATTTCCTTCACAAAAGAATATGAGACTAGCATAGTTCCTTGTCAATTTTTTTTTCCTTAGCTTGATGGAGATAGACAAGCCTTTGATGCTACTGTGAGACAACTGATGTCACGATGGCCCAAGCAGAGATCTTCATATTTACAAGCAATTTGTGATGAAATTTACAGTCTCAAAATGGAAAAGAGGTAAACTAGATTATTTTTTTTCATTTTTTTCTGTATTCAAACTAGAAGATAAGCTGCTCCTAACTTGTCTTTCACTTTCCCCTCTCTCTGAGGAAAAATAAATACTCAGGAAATGTGTATAGTTCCTTCAAAACTATAGGACTGGTCATTAACCCTCACTTACTGATAGAAAAATGAAAAATTTACATTTTAAGTCTTTTCAAGAAGCTCTAGAATATATTGCCACTTCTATCTCACTTGCTGTATTAACAAAAATGAATAGCAGACAATTATATACAGTCAGGTATCCTGCTATACATAGTACATATACTTCTATATATGTAAGTATACATGTATGTATAATACATACATCTATAGTGCTACATAAAAGCCCTCTTTTCTGATGAGAGGGACTCAGCTTGTCTTTTAAAAACTCATGAGTACATTTAATTCTTGCTGCTTTGAAATACCGTGGCAGTCAGGCACAGGTGGGAGGGTGCCCAGTTCCATGCAAACATCGTGTATGCTCTCCCAGCAAGTACAGCAAAGCCCATTTCTGTTTTGTAAGCATAGAAACATTCATGTTCAACTCATAAGTCTGCCTGTTGGCTTCTGGCAAGGCTGATACGGATAGTCTGGACACATCCTGGATGTCCAGTTTTATACCTCAAATTGCTAAATGCTGCATGCTGGTCCACTTAAGACCTGGGTATTTATGCCTAATGGGTTTCATTTTGCTTTCATTTTCTTAAACCTTTGTTCCACTTGAAAGTACTACTTAACCTTTAAATAAGACTAAAACTTCGGTTCCCTTTTCTCAGAAGAACTGAAATTGCTCCAGGTTTGCTGTTTACTGAGACAGCTATATTAAGTGAAGCATTTTTTTCCTTCGTGGGGCTTGCAAGGCTGTGAGTAACAGAACCCAAATAATACTCCATGCAATGCTGGGTATGAATATAACACAGTCCCTCACTATCTTCCTATCCCCGCTGGGGCTTCGCACTACTTAGCCATAAGCCTTCAGATCACGGGAGTGAAAACTGAACAGGCAAGATGAATGGAAAGAGGATGAGTGGAACATTGCAGTCACAGCCAAACAAACTAAAACTTACTGATTTTCTGCTAAATCTTTGCTGTGATCTTATTGTGAGGATTTGTCACAGGAACTGCAGCATTCAAACCTGCACTTTCAAAATACTAAAATTCCTTTTTCCTTCTCTCTGCAGGGTTCCTGCACTTATCCTGTACAGTTACCGAGATGAATACAAGGTTTTGTTTTAGTACTTAAAGCATCTTTTATGGGATACTTCTACAAATGGACAACAGCGTTTTGTCAAAAGGAATTTCAAAAAGCTGTACTAGTGCAAGACAGGCAACTAGTGCCTTTGTCTGTGTCCAGATTGCATTTCATGTATAATATTGTCCTGGTTCTGGCCAAGACAAGGTTAATATCTGCTGTAGCTAGGAGGAGGCAGGGCCAGGACCCAGAGGTGGATCTCACACCACCTCACATCATTGCTGGGGGCCTCCCAGGTGGGCACAGCATGGCAGAGAGCAGTTGAGCAGTGTTGTTTCTGTGGACTTGTTCACCTTTCCTGTACTCTCTGCCACTGGGATTGTTTCTGTTACTGTTTCCAGTAAATTCTTACCTCAACTTGAGCTCTTTACCTTCTGTGCCTCCCAGTTCTCCTCTCCAGCCACTGGCAGGGGGAAGGGATAGTGGGTGGCACATGGAGTCAGCTGGAGCACTGAACTAGAGAATGACATTCCTAAACCACAACAACTACAAAACTAAATGCTTTCAAAATGTGGAAGTAGTTGTTTTATAGGCAATTAAGGAGCAAGTCTGACTAGAGCCACAGCTATGTATTACCATGTAGTTCTTGCCCCTTATGCTACACAAATCAGCTGTACAGATGTAAAACTACATTTTTATAAAAGTTTCAGAATGCCTTTGATGCAACAATAGTACTGCAACAAGTAATGTCAGTTCTAGAATTATGAAAGAATGAATTACCTTTAAAAAATTGTTTTAAACATTTTTGAGTTTTTATGTAATAAAAACTGCTGAGCCTTATTAAGATACTCATTACAAGCCTTTTGTGTGTTGTTCTTGGTTGTGTTTTTTAACCTATTTTAATTTATGTATAAAATATGGTCGATTTCAGGCTGAGTTGTTACAAGCCTGGCTGCCTGCGCTCGTCCTGTCTGTACTTCAGCATTTAAATCAAGCAGCAGCTTCTGCAAGATGAAGACCTGATAAAATAGAACACTTGTTCTAGACCTGCAGAACCTAAACCAAAGACTTAAAGACAAACATTAACCTGCATGTGCTTGAGGCACAACCAGAGTTTTGAACTAACTGTCTTAGTACCTGAGTTGTCAGATATTGTGCTTGAGGCACAACCAGAGTTTTGAACTAACTGTCTTTACCCGAGTTGTCAGATTAGGTTTGAAGATAAAGTCACAGTAATGATGGAAGTATTTTCATAATTAGTCTCTTGAAGCTAAACTGTAACACAACCTCATCAGGAAGAATGAAGCTGAGAAACTATGATTTACAGCAGTCACAGTTAACTATGTATTATATTTCACATCAAACAGGAGGAAAATGCAGAAATGTTAATGATTTCTGAAAGTACACTGGTGTTTACCCTCCCTCCCACTTGGTACTTTTTGTTTAAACAACTTACACCTCTTTCTCTAAAGCACATGATTGCCATTTGTAGGCTCATTATATTAATAAATACCTACTTATTTTTTCCACCCTTTCTTGTAGCAAAGAAGGTGACTAAGTTAAAACATGTAGAGGTAACTTGCAAGACAAACCACAAAACTGCTGAGAACTGTGAAGGTTCTAACAGCAATGTCCAAAGCAGCAGACAGCCCTGAAGACAGAGATAACTGTGCCATTCCTAGCAATTCACAAGAAGTCACATCAGCCATTACGCCCAATCCATTTCTCATTATGTTTAATAGGAGCAATTACATATTTACTTTTTACATCTGTTCATATGAAGGAAGGAAAATTCAGATCCCTGAATATACTGAAGGATGATGTTTTTTTAAAAAAAAATTTAGGTGACATGACCATTTTTAAGTTATGTCTGAAGGGAACATGATGCAGAGTCCTACCTCCCCCCACCCCATGCCCAGGTCAGAACAGCTGGATCTGCATGGAGTGAAAGCTCTGCAAGAACTTTGAGCACTGTGCTGGCTGCCTTGGGATATCTGCACTGCATCATGTAGACGTGGCCCTCAGATTCTAAGACAGAAACAGGAAAGCAGCTGTTCCTGATAATATGTTGGCACCTGCTTTCCCTAGAATTACTGAGGCTCATCTATAAAACTGGGCATCTGTCACTGAGGCACCTGCTCCAGTCTTGTTTTGCTTCTGGTACAGTGTATGTCTCTTCACCCTGTGCTACCCTCCAGCCAGGTTTTACACTGCAGAGAACACGGCAGCAGTGTAAGTACAAACCAGCTGAGTGTAAAGCTGTGTCAGTAGAATGCTGTACATACTCCTGCCATTCAGCAACCCAAAGAAAGCATCTCTGCTCTCAGTTTAAACAAAAGTACTGATCACATCCCCGTTTCCTGCTGGAAGGAAAGCCAAAGACAAGTAGTAACTCAAAAAGAAATGGACTTTGCTTTGAGCAAGGGTCAAGTCTATTATAGTGATGGTAGCATAGCACACTGTTCCATCACTGTGTTGCTTTACTCTTCTTGGCCTTGCTTTTCTTGTCTTTCTTCTTCAAGCCATCCATGTTAGCTCTTAGCAAATTTGAATATGCCTGAAAGAACAATTAGAACCATTTAAAAGAGCCCCAAATACTTAAATGACAATATGCAAGAGGTAACATTTTAAGTATTACACACAGCCAATTATCAGTCTTTTCCCAGAGAACCATGCTCTTACACCCTGCACCAGGAAAATACGGTTTCTAAACCAATGTACAAGGTTAGATAAAATAAACCAGGATTTTTTAAAACAGATAAATGGGTAGTCTTAGTTAGTTTCTGTGGCAGTTCAGGAAGAAATCAACCTGTTCTCAGCTGTCCAGTGCTTCCAATAGACCACTTCTACTACTTACAGAAAAAGAGGATAAAAAGCATACAAAACTTACCATCTGGAATTTATTTACTTCCTTTGAGCTCACCTACAAAAGTAATACTGGAGGTTAACCATGAAAACTCTGGCTTCTATTACAGACCAAGTATCAGTCAGTACATGTTTACCCACCAGTTAACATCTGGTCTTTTTAGCATCAGTTGGATCAACTTAAAACATTCAGTGGTCAATGTGCTGTCCTGATATGGCACAGGACTTCACTGATTTAGAAAACTGAAAATACTCCTCAATTACCAAAACCCTCTACAGGCCTAACTCACATGCTTTCATACTGGAAGAAAGTGTAAAAGCATTCAAAGAAAGCTTTGATTCAATAAAAATGCTGCAGCTCATGTACTCGGCTGTTTTTCTTAAGTAACATTTTTTCCTTGTGTCTTATCACAGAGCAGAGCTGAAGTCAGCTAAAGCCTTTCCCAATCCCCAATTCAAAGTAAACACACATCAGGTTTTCAACTACCAGTTAACGTTTCCTCAATTTTCACTTAAAATATGGAACATTAAATCAAAGCCACACAGTTGTCACTTACCACTGTGCTGATTTTCTTCTTTCCATCAGTTGCTCTCAGGAGACACTTATTGTCTGCTGGTTCGAAACTTTCTACATGGCCTTTGCGTGGAACTGGTTTTGTTCGGCCATCATCTGTATTGAAAAAGAATTTTTATTCTTATTTTATTAAGATCAACAGATGCTTTCTGATATGAGATGTCAAAAACTGTTTATGAGCCGATCTGTGGAACACCTTGGTATTTCAGGCCAGCTGAACTAATGCTGTTGCCAAATTGCTCTTACTCTGGAACCCCAGAAAGATCTGTTCTGTAAACTGTACCTGCCAGAAAAAATGAAGTAAATCCTCCCCTCAACGTGCTGTATGCCCCACCTGCTCGAGCAGCAGCATGCTTTAAATGCACACCACCCTGCTGCCTCCTGACTTGATACATGGCCTCTCCAGTGGTGCCAGCTAGCCAGGAACCAGAGGAACATGAACACACAAAAACACCATCAGAACTCTCCTTTTACAGAAAACAAACAGTTTTAACTTACTGTTTAACAATCAGAATGTTCTAGTTTGAAAGTCCTGCAGTTCGAAATACAGCCTGACTCAAAGGTTATTAGTATACTAATAGTAACAGTGGTACCATCAATGCTCCTGCTGACGGGTTTGTCCCTATGACTGCTCTTGTCTTCAGATACCCTGGATTACAGCTCTCATCACTTAAAATACCTGGTGACAACAGTCGGATTTATATGAATACCTCTTTAACCCAGTAACAGACTCAAAACTTACATTTCTTCAGCGTTATGAAAACGCTGCCGGAGGTCCTGCACTTTTGGAAGAGCCTGGTAAGCTCCGTCAGGAACTGCAAGAGAAAGAGACGCGCCCATGGCTGGGGGCCACCACACGAGCTCCGAGCTCCGCTCCCCGCGGGCGCCGCCCGGGCCCGGGCTCTCTCCACCCGCGGGAGCAGCACCGAGGAAAGGCCAACTCTCGCTTTCCCCACGCTGAAACTGCAGGACACAGTCCCAGCCGGGGGCGGCTCGGCCTGCGGTTCTGACTCCGAACACGAGCTCTGAGCCCCCCGGACCTCCCGCGGGCCCGGCGCTTCTGCCCCGCCGGCTCAGAGTGCCCGCTCCGCTCCGCTCCGCTCCCCTCCCCCGCAGTGGCTCCCACGCCGCCAGGGCCGGCGCGGGGCCGGCGCGGGGCCGGCATCTCCCCCCCACCCCCCCCCCCTCNNNNCCTCCCTCTCTCCCTCTCTCTCTCCCTCTCTCCCCCGCTCGCTCGCTCGCTCCCCCGCTCCACGGCGGCGCACGGGGCTCGCCCCCATTGCCGGCGGGCCGCGGCCCCGCACCTGCTCGCTCTCCAGCAGCACCATCCTGCTCCGCTCCGGAAGGGCCGCGTGCGCACGCGCAGCGCGGGGGCAGCGCCACGTCAGCGGCGCGGGGTGGGAGGGACCGGGGCGGTGCCGCCCGCTGCCCGGCCGCGCCCAGCGCCATTGCTGCGGCCCCGCCCGCTGCCGGGGCCCGGAGACCGCGATTGCTGCGGCCCCGCCCGCTGCCGGGGCCCGGAGACCGCGATTGCTGCGGCCCCGCCCGCTGCCGGGGCCCGGAGACCGCGATTGCTGCGGCCCCGCCCGCTGTCAGGGCCTGGAGCCCGCTTTGCCTAGCCCGCGTGGCGCGGTCCGAGACCCGGCCCCGGGAGTCGCTCGCAGGGTTCAACTGGGACCGGCCCGTCGCCCCAGTGAGACCGGACTGGTGCAAAGGGCTCTGCTGAGCGCGGCTGGCTGTGGAGGGCGGGATTTGAGACCAAACGAACCCCTGGATTTGTGCAAAAACAGCAGGGGGGAGACCTGCGCCTGGCAGGGCCGAGAGAGCACTTCACAGCCCTGACACTTGAAGCTCCTGAGGGCTGGATTCTGTAATGGGAGTTTTCTGTCCGGCCCGTGGCAGTCGGGGCAGGAGCACACAGAAGTGGCAGCACGGGATCTAGAGCCTTTCTGTGTTTATCGCTAGCAAAATAGATCGATTTTTCCTCCGTGGACCTAACAAAAGTGGAAGATAATGCCTTACAGAATAAAAGGAAAAACTGCTGTCAGGCTGATAGGTGCTTGAGTCGCTGGGGAACTCATACTGTTCATTTATGGGCTCTGGTCTGCGTTCTAGACAGATCTGAAACACCTTCCTGCGTTACTGTTTTCATGGTGGGGGTGTTGTTCGGTATATGAAACCACACGTGATAATGACAAAGCCTAGTCACTCCAAAAGTCCCTTCTAGAGTCCACGACTACTCGCGGTGCCTTGCAGGTTCAGCGGGAGGCAGTAGAGGGTGCTGTGATTGCACACACAGAAATGAAGCTGCCTAAAGGACACGGAAACAGATGCCCAACAAGCAGGTCATTACAACCCGGCCATAGTTTATGAAAATCTACCAAGTTATTAAGGTAACTCCACAAGGGAAGTGTAGAGATCCAGCACTACTTTTCCCACAACCATGGATGATACCATCCTCCTGATGCTTTTGCACTTGTATTATTTGCAGTTGACAAGGAAAGACTGCAGTATAATAAATTCCAGTGTTTCTCATGGCATTAAAAACATAATAAAAAAGAAGGAATATGTGTTATTGAAGCCTCCTGAAAACAGGCGTTCTAAGGGGACACCATCAGTGCTGTGGTTGGAAGTACTGAGAGGCCAAAGCCCTGCAGACGTGCAGTGATGGTCCCTGCCCCTACCAGCCTGCAGTCAGTGGTCACGACAAGCGAACATGGGTGCATGCACGGAGTCATTGCTGACACTTCTTCCTCTAACCCTGCCTGCCTGCTGGAGAAGTCATAACTACAAGAGGTTGTTTTGTCAGAAATCAGAGTAGGGTTGTGTTTTCAAGAGAGCCCAGAACATGGTCAGTGTAAGAGTGTTGCAGGTTTTTATAGGCAACTTGTGAAAGAAGAGCAGAAATGGAAAAACTAAAACAATTGCAACACACTCCCCCTTGGAAACTACCATGGTCACAGGCACTGGAAGGCAGAAGTACATTTCCACTCACGCTTGCCAAAAGAGAAGATGGGTGGTCTCGTGGCTGAAACACAGGGACTACCACTGTCACCTGAATTCTGACTGTTGACTTCACTAGAGAAATCTTGTGTTGCCATGAACTGCTCTCCTAACTCCTCCGTGCCACAGCTCTTCATTATAAAGGTGGAGAAACATTATATGTAGTTATTCTCTCAAACCTTTGACACAGCCAAAACCGTCAGTGCCTGTGGGAAGGACACCACCGAGGTTTTTCCCCTGAATCTCCCCCTCTGTAAGGCGCTGCCTCTGTTGCTGAGGTGAACCTTTGGGACGCTGTGGCCGTAGTGGTGCCCACTCGATGTAGCTGAGGTGGCAGCAGCAGTGCAGCTGCCACATCAGAGACTGTGCAAAGACACAGGGCATCCACCTCTCCAGGCTGATTCCTTGCAGGAATCTGTGACACTAAAGCTCTGGTTCTGCTGTATGCTGGAAGAAGGGACAAAGAGGAAACTGCTGTGAAGAACTCCAGAGAGTTGCATGAAGTCTATGTTTTCCAAATCTGTTGTTTTATCAGCAATTTTTTGGAAAATATATTTGTCTCACTGCTATTAAAAGAAGTGGCTCCACTGAACTGCTGAATTTCTTTCCACAAGAAAGAAGGAGGATTTTTTTTTTTTTTTTTTTTTATGTGTGCATGTGTGTTAGCTTATCTTCCCGATCTTGAAGCTGTTTTTCAAGCCAGAATGTCACAATTTAATTGGGGGAGAAGCCTTAATCACAACTTGCAAACAAGGTGAAAATGGAACATTTTTAACGATTGCTTTCCAAAAAGTAGATGGAACAGGGGAATGCTGACATTGCTTTACTTTTGCCAAAGGCTGCCAACACTCTGAGGGAATAAGCTATTCAGCTGGCGAAAAAGTGCTGAACAAACACTGAAGGAGCTAAAGGGATACTCCCAATCATGATATACTCGCTTTTCACTCTATCTCCTGCCCCAGTCTGATGTCTTTCCCCTCACCCCATGCCCTCACACCAAAAAAAAAAAAAAAAAAAAAAAAAAAAAAAAAAAAAAAAAAAAAAAAAAAAGGGGGAAAAAAAAAAAAAAAAAGGGCCCCCCCCCCCCCACCCCAAAAAAAAAAAAAAAAAAAAAAAAAAAAAAAAAAAAAAAAAAAAAAAAAGGGAAATAGAAAAAAAATAGGAAAAAAAAAGGAGAAAAAATAAGAAAAGGCAGGTTGGATTAAAACAGTAGCAAGAGGAATTGGTGGATCCTGAGAGTTGGCAGGGGTATTAGTATTTTGTAACCTGATCTGTCATGTGACCAGGGCCAGGCAATAAAAATAAGTCTCCTACCAGCCCTCCTGTTTGCTCAACTTTATTATATGGTGTCAGTGGAGAACTACTTTTTTTTCCTTATTTTTTTTTCTTTTGGCAAAAATTTAGCAAATGAAGCCACCTGAATCATTAAATCCTGAAGGAAATCTGGCAGAGAACTGGAGGCGGTTGTTGCTGCACTTCCAAGTTTTCCTGGAAGCAAGCATGTACTGAAGAGAAAAGGAGAAGGTGAAATCTCTCCTAAATGTGGTGGGAGGGGCAGGAAGCAGACAAACAAAACTATTAGAAGTAAATTAAATTCTTGATCAGCCTTAGTAGAGGTTGGCAAAGATCTATTCGAATTAGCCAGCAAGGATTACTACTAGTTATGGACTAGCACACACACATATTCAGCTGCTGTGCACCACAGTGAGCAGAAATGTAATAACATACTGTAAATTACAGTTTGCTCACCACAGTGCTCAAGATGAGTTAATAACAGATAATGGCCCACAATTCACAAGTGGATCATTCTGGTAATTCTCTTTGATCTGTAAGTTCAAGAATACCACGTCAAAGTATATGCAAAGGAAAAAGAGTCAGTGTTAGAGCAAGAGCCCAGTAACAGCCTCCCCCCCCCCTTTACAAGTCTATCATTAGCACTGTAAAAACAGAGATACACACCTCGCTGTCTTACTGGCCTCACCAGATCTGAGATTAATAGGCACAGGAAAAGAGCCAACATTTAACAGAGGCTGGTTGGGCAGAAAGACTATTAACCCTGGAAGAGCTACCATAGCATCTCTAAGCCCTGTGCCAGGGGAGTAGAGAAGAAAAATTTTAACAAGAGGAAGGAACACTTATTCTTTTTTTCTGATATTAGGTGGATTTCCAACAAAGCAATCAGTTGGTTACATTGGTACAGGTGAATGTCAGTCCTGAGATAGGGTCTTAACCTTCTTTATAAGTGGCCCTTGTGAAAAGAAATAAAGGACATGCAAGGGAACAATGACAGAGACCTCTTGATCAAGGTAGATACAGAGGTACAAAGCAGTGTTACTAGCCTCATCAGCTGGTAGAGAAAGAAAAAGATTCTGAATACCTTATAGATTCCATCAGAGTAGTAAACGAGGCATTTTAAAAGATCTTTCTGAGACCACATTATGCCACCAGAGAGCTCCTGAGTGAGAAGCTTCTCCTGGTGAGAAAGCCAACTTCCAAAGAGATGATCTCCTCAACAAACAGGTTCCTTATGAGTTAGGAGCTGATTCATATACCCTCAGCTCTTCCCTAAGCATTTCTGTTCATTTTAATGAATCCTTCCTATTCTATTTATTATCATGTCATATTAACACATAATGAGTTTCAAGATAGGTTAAGTGTAACCTTGAGTTCAACAGACACTGACTTTCATTGTGTAACAGCAATGTTAACAGTGATTTATATTTTGGGGAGACCAGGAAATAGATACGGATACATTTCTTAAAACTCTAACGCACCACATTACTATTGTAGTGCAAATCAAAACCTATCTGAGTGAGACACAAGAAGATCTTTTTGGAAGAGACCCACGTGGTTTTGAAGTACCATCCAGATTTTAGAAAGCTTCCCTGTCAAAGAAGATAAGGGATGTATATTTACCCTATTATTAAGTGTCTCACACATGCTTGAAGTGGTTTTGTGACAAGCCCCCATCTCACAAAAAATGGGGAGGAAAAAGCTGGAAGAAAAGCACAGATGCAGAGCTGTTCATCTGTACAAGTGATGGTGTCATCTGTGCTCTGTAAGACCCTGCAATGGCATGTATGTACTGAGTCCACAAATAATGCTGTAGTGCTCGACATACTTCTGGGAACAAGGAAATTAAAGAGCCAATTAATTTAACTACCAAAGTGTGAGGAAGGACCGAGGGACAAGAAGCCCATGTCAATCATATGTGTTTAGTTTGAAGGACAGAACTAGCAAAAGACAATCTCACATACCTCCAAATCCAATGCAAAACACTGAAGGAAAATGGTCAGATAAAAAAGGAGAGAAATGCAATTTGAACATCCAAAGTCCTGGTAACTTTCAGCTGTGAGTAGAGCAGAGCAGAGT